AGCCACAACATTTTGTTATGGAAAAGACACTAAGATTTGCAAATCATTATTCTTAATCAGCCTTTGAAAACCCTGACAATAAAAAGAAGGCATATTCAACCTGTGAAAGATGGTTAATATAAAAATAAAAAGGAAGGTGTGGGGGAAATAGCTAAAGTTCCCCCCCTTAAAAATGAAGAAACTGGCCGCTGCCTTGCTAGACTCTGTTGTCGCCATGCTTCCTAGCTTTGGCCCCCTCCCCCACCTTGAGGAGGTGAACCTTCTCTCTCTCTCCCTCTCCCTCTCTCCCCCTCCTCTCTCTTTCTCTCTAATTTACTTTCAAATAAAATATATTTTAAAATCTAAAAAAGAAAAATGAAGAAATCAAGTTATGTCTAAGCAAAATATCTCCTATTAATTTAAGACCCTTTAGGCAGTAACAACCATCATATTATGATCAATCTGTATGCCAGAGTGTGCAGGTACAAACGCTAATTAAAATGTTTCCATTTGCTGGACAGTCAGTAGTTTTACACTATAAAACTGAACTACATTTTCCAGGTATCAGCTGTTGTATTTTTATAGTTGCAAAAGAGCATTCTGCATATACCCAAAGTACATTTATTACATATATATTACAGAGAAAAATATAGGGAAATTTTTTGCAGTTTATGTAAAGTAGGCCTGGTACATCATGGGGGGGGTTCAATAAAATTTTACTGAGGCCAGGCACGGTGACTCACACCTATAATCCCAGCACTTTGTGAGGCTGAGGTGAGAGGACTACCTGAGCCCACGGATTCGAGACAAGCCTGGGCAACCCGGCAGAGACCTTATCTCTACAATAAATCAAAAAATTAGCCAGGGGTGGTGGTGCGTGCTTGTAGTTCCAGCTACTTGGAAGGCCAAGGCAGAAGAATCACCTGAGCCCAGCAAGTGGAGGCTGCGGTGGTCATGAGGGTACCACTGCCTTCTCCAGCCTGGGCGATAGAGTGAGACTCCAACTCAAAAAAAAAAAGTTTGTTTTACTGAAATGTATTCAAGTGGAGTGTTTCACATAATGCTAGACAAAAAACTACAAGTCAGATTCCATTTCTTTTTTCTTTTTTTGAGTCAGAGTCTCAGTTGCCCAGGCTGGAGAGGTCGCAGCCTCGACCTGCTGGGCTCAGGCGATCCTTCCGCCTCAGCCTTCCAAGCAGTTGGAACTACAGGCATGCGCCATCATGCCTGGCTAATTTTTGATTTACTGTAGAGATGAGGTCTCACCGAGTTGCCCAGGCTGGTCTCGAACCCATGGACTCAGGCAATCTTCTCACCTTGGACTCCCAAAGTGCTAGGATTACAGGCGTGAACCACCGTGCCTGGCCAGATTCCAATTCTACAAAAAATGTTAAAACAGTATAACATAATGGTTACAAGAGTGGTGATAAAAACCACAGGCTTTGGAATCGGATAGATCTGGGATCAAATCTCAGCTGCCAATACTGTACAGATGGATACCTTGGGAAAGTTATTTAATCTATCTAAATTTGTCTTCTCACCTCCAAAATAGAAATACCTACCTCATAAAGTTATAGTGCTGATTAAATGGCAGTTATAATTTTTATATAACATGGATTACCAAAATTCCACAGACAGTCCATTTTCTTCAAGCCCTAGATCAATCTAGATCTCTGGAGGATAAGAGTTCTGTATATTTTTTGAAGTTCTACGAATGATCTTGACTGGCACTCCTGTTTAGAAACCACTGTCTCCTAGTGTTACTAAAAATGTTTCTGGCGAGACCTCATCTCTACAATAAATCACAAAATTAGCCAGGCATGGTGGCACATGCCTGTAGTTCCAGCTACTTAGAAGGCTGGGGCGGAAGGATCGCCTGAGCCCAGCAGGTCGAGGCTGCGGTGGCCGGGAGCGTGCTACCGTCCTCCAGCCTGGGTGTCAGAGTGAGACTCTAACTCAAAAAGAAAACAAAAACAATGCTTCACCTGAATCCAAAGTACGGAAGATAAAAGAGCTCTTAAGACGTCATCTTATGGTTTAATTCCAAGTTTCTAAGACAGACCTCTACTCTAAATTAATTTTACACGGTCAGGCACGGTTGCTCACACCTGTAATCCCAGTACTTCGAGGAGGCTGAGGTGGGAGGACTGCTTGACCCGGAAGTTCGAGACCAGCCTGGGCAACACAGAAAGACCACCTTTCTACAAAAAAATAAGAAGAAATTCGCTAGTGTGGTGGTCCCTCCCTGTAGTCCCAGCTATTCTGGAGGCTGAGGTGGAAGGCTTGCCTGGGCCAAGAGGGTTGAGGCTACAGTGAGCCAAGAGAGTGCCACTGCACTCCAGTCTGGGTGTTAGAGTGAGACTCCAATTCAAAAAACAAAAAAAGTGTCTTCACAGAGAATAGAATCATACTGCAAAGTTCCATTTTAATATATTTTCCAAAGCCAGGAAAACTATGATTCCATATTTAAATTGTACATCAAAATCAAGTATACCTTAACCTCTTCATGTTCATTAATGAATAGTTTTAATAATTATTCATAAATGGTTTCAGTAATGAACATTTTAAAAATATGTGTAGAGAAGCAGCTCACCAACGACTGTGCGGTATATAATAATGTGTAAGGTGTCCTATTTCTATGTTTTCGCTTTTTTTTTTTTTTTTTTTTTTTGAGTTGGAGTCTCCCTCTGTCACCCAGACTGGAGTGCAGTGGCCGCTCCCGGCCACCGCAGCCTCGACCTGCTCGGCTCTGGTGATCCTTCCGCCTCAGCCTTCCAAATAGCTGGAATTACAGGCACGCACTACCACGCCTGGCTAATTTTTTTTTATTTATTGTAGAGATGAGGTCTCGCCAAGTTGCCCAGGCAGGTCTCAAACCCGCAGTCTCAGGCAATTCACTCACCTCAGCCTCCCTACTGGCTGAGTACCGAGCCCAGCCATATGTTTTCGCTTTTAAATAAATTTAAGTTTACAGTTAAAATCCACTGATGCTTCACTAAAACCCTCCCATAATGTTTTTTATTCAGCATATATACTTTAAAATATGCAGCCCACAAGCAATCTTACTAAAAACTGAAGGCACCTAAAGCAAATTAAATTTTCCTGATACAAACTTCAAACCCCACTAAGTAACCCAATAAAACTTTTTTTTTTTTGAGTTGGAGTCTCACTCTGTCACCCAGGCTGGAGAGCACTGGCACACTCACAGCCACTGCAGCCTCAACCTGTTGGGCTCAGATGAGCCTTCCACCTCAGCCTTCCAAGTAGGTGGGAGGACAGGCATGCGCCACCATGCCCGGCTAATTTTTTGGTTAATTGTAGAGATGAGGTCTCACCAAGTTGCCCCGGCTAGCCTTGGCCTCCCAAAGTGCTGGCATTATAGGCATGAGCCACCGCACCTGGCCCCCAATAAAACATTTTAAAGAAGTATGACCTAGCACAGTAGTTCAAGTCTGTAATCCCAGCACTTTAAAAGGAGGCTGAGGTAGGAGGGTTGTTTGAGCCAAGAGTTCAAGACCAGTCTGGGCAACAAGGCAAGACCTTCATCTCTACTTATTTAAAAAAATGTTTAAATAAAATAAACATTTGAAGTGCACACACACACAAAACCCACAAACACAATCATGACCATTTTATGCCAAAAGAATCGGTATAGAATAATCAAAATCCCTGGAAAAAATTGAGAGTCTGGAAACACTGTAGGACTTCTTCAAACCAAACAAACAAAGAAACTTAAAACGGTTATATCAAAACTACTATGCCAATAGTAGATCATCTGAAAGCAATCAAGCAAGTAAGAGATTGTCCTCTAAAGACTTTTCTGTTGCTGTTCAAGAGGGGAGAACTGGAAGGTAAAGCAAGGGCTAGAGCAGACAATGCAGGCTTCATTAGTGTGTAGGTTTTACCATTTTAGACTCAAGTCATTTTCTCAGCTACCCACATTAGTGAAGCTTATGAGTGACAAATGGAATTGCTAACTTGAAAAGTGTTAAAATCCAAACTTGCATACAACAGTACAAAGGTCAAAAAAAAACTATCAGGCCCTGGAAGTATTACTTAGTGAGCCTAAGCCTTAACCCATTTGTCAACGCAACTTTTAAAAATAAATGTTTACCCCACATCTTTATAATATATAAATTTTAAAATAATAAAATAAGCAAATAAATGTTTAACTTTATGTTACTCAAACAGAAAATTAAATTTGCGGTATAGCGTAGTAGAAAGTTGTATACCAACAGAATTCTATAAATCCCAACTATTTTAAAGCAGATCACACAAGTTTAAAGAAACTGACAATTTTGATTTCAGCTTTGTGAAAGTTATGTATTTTTAAAGCCCAATAGTAAATCAAAGCATAATTCTAAAACACTGAAATGAGTAAGCAGTGTTATATTTTTTTCAAGACTTCATAAAGTGTCAAAATATATAAGCGTTTTTACATTTTAAAAGTTTAACTTCATCCACTTTGGGGAGTCAAATAAAAGTTTACTAGGTCAAAACCAAACTAAAGAGACTGTTTGAGGACATCCTTTCTAGTTAATCCAACCTTCCCTCTTTCAACACTACATTCGTCCAACTCTTCACATAGGCATATGACATACATGACAAAGAACTGCTTACATCCTAAATATAAAACAGTCTGAAAAACAGGTGCGACACTATTTAGATGCATGCTTCTTTCTTCTTCTAAGTCTAAATCTGCCCTGGAAAGGAATTTAAAAATAAACACAAATGCCCAAGGAAGTTAAATAACCCTTTCAAGAAGATGTAGCAATTCTGAAGCCCAAGACACGAGCTGTAACCTCCCAACATCTTCCCAAAGTTAGGTCACGTCGCCTATCAAAGGCTCACATTAGGAGGAACGAGTCAGGCTCCACCGGGAAGCGTCCTGAGGACATTTAACTTTGCTTCCCCCGCATGAGTTCGTAGGGTGAAACAACTACGCTGCACGTCAAGCGAAAATTAAACCTTTTTCTCAGTCCTTTCATCACACAACACTGTCTGGTTTGGCTATGTCGGAGAAAGAAGGGGAAGGGAGAAAGGAGGTGCAGTGAAGGGGATACACAATAGAAAAACTCGGTGCTGAAAGCGTTGATGAGTCACTACGGAAGGAAGAACTCCAGAGAACCCGAGTGAGCACGGCAGTTTCTCAGGTGAGAAAGTACGAAAAGTTGACGGTGGGAAACGAAAACTTCCCAGGCCGGCCGCAAGCCACTGGGCTCGGGAGCAGCCCTGGAGAGCAGCGTGGCTGTCAAGGGGCAAGTGCGCACCGAGTCGCGCAGAAGGGGGCCAGACAGGCCAAGCAGGAAAGGGGGGTTGGTCCGGGAAAAGGGGGTAAGGCGCCCGCCCCGGCCCCTCTCCTCGGGGTCTCCCTCGCCAGAAAAACAAACAAGAGCAAACCCAGGGGCCGGCAGCCGCCAGCCGGGCGCTCCCACAGAGGGATGCTCAGCCCGAAGCCCCGGAGGCCCGGGAAGGCGCCTCCGGAGGAGCCCCCGCCGACGCCATGCTAAAAGCCAAAATGGCTGCCCCGAGGAAGCCCGCACCGCGGAGCTAGCGAGGATTGGGGAACCAGCTTCTGCCGGAAAGGGGGAGGG